CTTCATATAAATCACACGACCTCAATTACAAGTGACAAACCACTTACGATCTAATATACAAATGATGCGTGAAGGCTTAGGCAAGGTATATTAATGGGAACCAATCACACCTCTGCAATTACACCCGGCCTAGACATGAAACTTTTAATGGCTCATGACATCGGCAGAAGAAACCAGAAGGCCAAGGATCGTGTCCTGGAGAAGACAAGATGGCACCCCGCCGAGAAGAAAGAAAAGGACGGAGCCAAGGAAGAATGTCGCTTTCCTTTTAGTTTTCTTTTTCATCTTTCACGGATATTCACTTTTTTCATATTTTCTTTTTCAATTTCCCTCGACGGCTGGATAGGAACGTCTAACGTTTAAACGGCTATAATAGTGGCTATTATTTGGCGAAATATCAAAACGTCCTTTAAGCCTATCGTAAAACTCATTCTACTAATTTGTTTTCTCTTCGATACTAAATTATTATCTGATAAAATTATCAACTAATTTGTTCTTCAAGGAAGGTTCTCAATTAGCATCTCTCTAAATTTATAGGTTTAATGTATATTATGGCGTATTTTGGTAAGTATACAGTTACCGTGTAAAAAGAAATTGGAAGCAATATAGCTAATTTCTGCGATATTATAATTTCTGTTATTATTTTCAAAACAATTCAACATCAAAATTGACATTACTTTCTATGTTACATAAAGAAAAATAAATAAAGGATGATTCCTAATATTAGCCTAAATATATTTCTTTTCATCATTGATAATTTGCTAAGAAAAATAGAAAACATCCCTTCAGCTTTGCATTAGAACATATGAAAAACGTTTAGAATACCATATCCGATTTCAACGATTTTTGGTTTGTTTTTTTAGAAAATTTCTTAAATTAAAAAACAAATATGCAGAACATCAACAAAAAAGTGTGTACTTCTTGAGTTAATCGGAAATTTAATTTTACCACCCCTTGTAACTCTTTTTTCGCTGAAGTACGTTAAAGATAAATTTAAGGGGCTTCGAGAAGACTTTTGCTAAATTTCATTGAAATGAGTACATTTGTTTAGGCATTACAGTCTAAACCAACACAGGTTTTTCGGCCACCATCTTGAAAGGAAAGGACTGATTGTAATTCGAGATATGAGGATCATCGTAAAGTGACCTCTGACTTTGATTCCAAATTTGAAAAAATCAGTCCAGTAGTCTAGGAATAAAGGCGCGGGCGGGACGGAAAACATTTTTTTTATTCGATTTTCGAATTATACATATAGTGAAACAAAAATCTTAAATACTGAGGGTGGGTTAAATTTTTTGGACGATTAAAATGGTTCAATACTGAAAATAATGAACTAAAATTATTTATAAGTCTTCGAATAATTATAGGAATTTTTATTGTTACATTAAATCGTTGTCAAGTATAATTTATTATCATTGATTCTTTAAAATAAAGTCGTTCAATACAAATAGACGTGATAATAACAAAAATAATAATAATAACTAGATGGCTCGTGTGAATGATTTATAGAGTATATTGGCCAGTGATCGAATGAAAAAATATAGAATTAAGTTATCAAATATATTTTGAAGTATAGGCATTAAATTTAATAAACCAAAAAAAAAAAATTGTAAAAATTACAACATTATGCATCTTTGCTTATAACAGTTTCGATTTCGTTTTTTTCTTCTTGGTTTGTAGAGACTTTCAAAAATTATTTTATGAACTAAAAAAGTTTATTTTTCCTCAACCATTTTTTTTTCAATTTTTACTTTCAAACGGAAATAAACGTTTTGTCCAACTAACCAACGTTACAAATAACAAAGTCCCGCAAAATGGTCAGTGTGCGTGTGTGTATGTCTAGCTCAAAAAATGAAAAGTCGTACGAAAGTGAAATTGCGTATTTAAGATTTTTATATGCTAGGTAGTTACAGCAACATTTTCATCAAAATCGTCTGACCGGAAGTGGACTGTATATAATCGATTTAACACATTTTTACGATTTTTTCGAAAAGCTCCAACGATTTTGATTAAATTCATTACATCAGTAAAAAATTAAACAGTTTTAAATAAAATATACTTTTTATTCTGATTGATGTTTTTTAACAGAGCTTAAATGGCTAATTTTCAATATTACTTTACCCTAAAATACCTTTCATTCTTTTTGTTTGAAACAATTGACCATTTTACATTCACCTGTAATATAAAATATAGTTAAATATAAAATATGAAAGAATTTGATAATTAACTAAAGGAGGAATAAGAGATCGTAACGGAGAATAATTGTAATTCAGGAACTAAAGGAATACGAGCTCGCCCGAAAGATTAGAACGCGCTTCCATAAGTAAAACATGAGCTTAATATAATAAGGACTCCGAAAATATTATGTAAATATAAATATTTCATAAATGCTATTGTTGGTGTTATTTAATATTTAATTGTATAGATTACAGCGATATAAATATTAAAATTTGTATATATAATGGTACTTATACAAATAAAAATTCCCACACAACGAATTATAAATCAATATAGTGTTTATAATTTTTACTTTCACATCCCCTTTTTCTGAAAATACTTATTTCTGCTAAGAAGAGGGTGGTAATTGAAAGTTGTGTGATTTGCATTTATTTAAATCTTTCAAAATCAGACAATTTAACAACCCTTATTCTTTGGTTTGGGTTAAATAATTTGTGTGATGCGAGTACCGCGTGGACATCCGTTTTTCACATGTACGCCCTAAGTATTTTATCGTGTTCGTCAAGTGGACAAGTTTTCTTTTCATGTCGGCTGGTGGACATGCGTTGTGCTGGGGAGTGAAAGTCACTTGTCATAGTTAAGTTGTGTCTTACAATGAGAGTAAGACTTGATGGGACCTGCTTGTGTATTGTTTTGTCCTCTGCGAAATTCCGGGTTAGCATGTTGAAACCAACTGGGACTTCAAGTATATACGTAATACATCGCAACGATTTGTCTAATGTTATGTAGCTTTGTAATTAATTAATCCTCGAATGACAACTCGCAGCTGTGTTCAAAGAAGACTATCATTAGTCTTACAATATTCTTTTAATCAGTCTCAAAGGTTTTACTAGTCGATAAAAATCAAGGTAAAATTCGAAATTTGTAATTATGATGTTTATTTTATTTTCGAAAGAATGTTAGAATTAGGAAACGACTCCATTTCAAAACTATATAGTTGAAGTAAAATGTAACATCCAATACTGTACATTGTTTTATCTTATGAATATAATACTGTCAGTATGGGCTTAAAATCTTAAGAAGGGGGCGTCTCCCTACTCCCCAGGGTTCTTCCACGGCCAATGAAACAGAATAAATAATTTTTCTACCACGAGCCAGGATCAAACCTGAGACCTCGAGCATTGGAAGCTTAGTGCCCTACCACTTAGCTACACACACAAAAAAACAAAACAATAATTCCTGAAAACTGATAATCTGGAGAAATATATATATAAACAAAAATCAATTGATACTTTGAAAATAAACATATATTCCAAAACTACTTCATATCAGATTTGAGACTCAAATTTCTGCACGAATAAGTCACAAATCAAAAATTAAAAGCAGGGGTACTCAAAAGAGGTTGCACGACGTACATCGCGCCGTAAAAGTGTTTGAGGAAAACACTTTGTTTTTTCTGTAATATTAATTTCTTTATTTCACCATTTTTAAGAAGGATGGGGATGAGAGAGCTTTTTAACTTAGGGGGCTTTAATCCCCCGCTCTCCTTCCTGGCTCGGTAAATATCCCATGTAACCTAAAAGCCGAGGAAGGGGCGTCCAAAAAAAAAAAAAAAGAATGAAATCCCATGCTATCACCTTTGTGGGAGGGGAATGGGCGGGCCCCCCTGAATAAAGAGGTTGCTAACCAAAAAATTAATGTTATATGTATTGTTTCGTTTTTGTTTTTAATTAATATTTTTAGCTACCTTTGATTTAGATAATAAGTAATATCTTAGTTAAAAGAATCATTTTTCCATCTTTAAATTAAGTGGTTCTGTTTCAAAAAAGAAAATTGTACTGTATGAAATCATATAGCATTAAACAGAAAAATTTAAATAACACGTTTTAAGAAATGGAATTATAGCCGTATTTAGATATTACAGATTTTATAGCTTATTTTACATACATTACATTTGATATAAACAAATATAAAGAAAGGAGATGGTCCGGGGTGGCGGTCATAAATAGGCTAACTAGTGGCAGAACTATTTTATTAAAAGCCAACGTTTCGACCCGACTTTGCATGTCTTCTTCAGAACTGTTCTAAGTGAAACTCCTAGCTGAACACACCTCCCTGAAGAAGACCTGCAAAGTCGGGTCAGAACGTTGGCTTTTAATAAAATAGTTTTACCATTATTTAGCCTACTTATGACAGCCCCCCCATCTCCGTCCTTCATAATGCAACGATCAACTATTAAATATGCAATATAAACAAATATGTAATTTAAATAACATTTAGTTCGTGGAACGATAAATATGCAACATATTTTCCATGGATAGAAAATATATCGCTAGCTTCTATCGATTTTTATTTTTAGCCGAATTATATGGACAATTTTAAATAACTAGTAATAGTTGAATAGTTAACATTCTGACATCAAAAATGTTATTCTGACCAACAACCTATTTTTCAATAAGAAAACAAATTGCCCCTTTTAGTATTTTGAATATCTTTATAAAATATTGTATTTATTAAAATCCAAATCTAATTAATTGATTATGAGTAATAAATGAGAAGGAATTCAGCTGACAGAGAGATATTTGATGGTGTTGAGTGTTGTGAAACATCATAACAACATCAATAAATCAATCAAATTTATCGTAGTTAATGATGCCTGCCTATTAGAGCTATCTCATTGGTGGAGAACCGGACTCATAAACCAATCAGGGTTCAGATAACTGCCGGGTCGGTGGAAGGACAAAGGATGACGGAGGAAGGAAGATATATCGAAGGATAGAAATCCTTTTAGTGAAGGTAGCTAAGAAGAAATTCCAACTTACCGGGCATGTTGGAGGAATCGCAATGTTCGGCTACTTGCTTCACGAACATGTTGAACAGGTGGCTCATCTGCAACAAGGAAATCAATATATAATATATGTTATAATATTATAAGTTAATAATTAATTTATAATATAAATACATACTACATTAAATGAATAAGGAAATAGCTATGATGTATATATTTTCAGTAATGTATAACTATTTTTTTATTCATTTTGATTTTTAAAAGTAGGAAATTATAATTTACAATAAATAATACAACACTCAGTAAGTTTATTATGCATTAGAAAGAAAATTAAATATAAAATCTTAAATATAGGATGGTCCTTTTAGCAGAAATTTGACGTTGAAAATTAACAGAAAAAATATATACACAGTCGCGGTCATAGAAATTGTATCACCTATTTCTTTTGATAACATTGATTCAATTGAATGATTTTCTTTTTCTTGACTTATTCAGGTTACATGAAAACTTAAACAATGTTTCTCAGTTCAGTTTTAACTAATTCCAGGGCAAAAGCTATAATTAAGATATGTTTCCAAAATTATCCTAGTCAGAAAATATTAAAATTGTGACGTTACATGAAGTAAAGGAATATTCATGGGAAATAGCGACGAAGATAGGGTACCAAAAATCAACGATAGTCATAGTTTTGAAAAATAAAAATAAAAACAACACCATTGAACGAAAGAAACTGGGAGGAGAAAAAACAAATCGACAATTTGACAGCTTAATGGTGCGATTGTATTAGAATATATTTTCAAAACTGGCAAATAAATAACCGGAGAACTTGAAGATAGCTTCAGGTAATTTTTTTAAGTTGTATTTATGGTATTGGTATTTACAACTGTATCAAGAATAAAAATATATCCAGTAAATGTGATAACAAGATATAATAACATGAAAACACATATTGAGAAACTACCTACTGCTGATAGGATTCTAAAAATGTATTTACAATAGGAGATCTCGAGGCCATCTTTTTTTCTCACCTCGGAGCGTTATCAGAGATCGAAAAGGAAGCAAGATTAGAAACGAGAGGGTCGGATGGTTCTGCAGTTTATTATGGAAGGATAGGTGTCTGGATTGGGCCAAATCGGAAACATAAGGAATATTAAGGTTGTTATGGATGAATTTATTATTTACAAAGTAAGGAAAATTGAAGATTTTACGAAGGATACCTTGGATAATTGGATACGAATTGGATACTTGAGGAATTCGATGGCTTTGTAGAACCCCAAATAGGTCTTATTAGTCATGCATAAGAGTCTTTTTCAATTAGCTGAATGCTTAGAGCGTTTGTCTAGTAAGTGGTGGATTAGTCGGAAACGTCGAGCGGTTTCTTGTCGTTTCAGTCTGGTATGAGGATTTTAAGTTAGACGTTTGTCCAAGTGGAGTCTAAAGTGTCGGATTTCTTCAACAAGGGTAAGTGTGGTATTCTTAAAGGAAACTGTAGGACAGGAAGAGATAGGTTTAATATGGCAAATAAAATAAATTTTTTACTGGATGATGAAATTTCAATGCTATTATTTAATCATCATGATCATGTCAAATAAGATTAAGCAAAAGTGAATATATATATATATGATCAACAGGTAGAAATAGACCAGCGTATAATTAGCGCAGAGCTTTCTTCTCTCTTTCAAAGGATTCAAATCCCCAAAAATCTCAAGAAATCTCAAACTAAGGGTACAATGCTATGATAAATCCAATTCTAATATATGGCTATGAGACCTGGACACTAACAACCAGCCTAGAAAAAAGTGTTGAAAGATTTCAGAGAAAAATCCTCCGCAAGATAACCGGAGCGATTTAGAATCAGAGTACTAACACATGGAGATGAAAGACTAATAAAGAACTGCTTGCAGAAAGTGGTCAACCAATATCCCAATGATATGAAGGTACGGAGGTTAAGATTCATTCAATCCATCTGGAAGCCTCTATTTAACTATTAATGCCTCAATAGAAGGCAAAAGACCACGTGCGAGGCCGAAAAGCAGATGGATAGGTAGAATAAACAAAGATGCAATAGAGCTGCGTGCAGACTTGTTAAGATCTACAGGGTCTGTAATGCCAACAGAATATATATATATATAGATAGATAGATAGAAAGTAATCTTTATTCTGGGACGAGGTCCCTTATGAATAACAGTTATGAACAAAAAATAAAAACCACATCTGGAAATAAATTACAATAATCAATATTAAAGAAAATATACAGTATCTCAGTAAAAGTATATTAAAAGAAGTGATAATAACACAATTTTGAAAAAAAAAGAAATTATATATTTAAATGGAAAAACAAAACAAAATAATATAAGCATGGGCTGATTTTTAAAATTAAAACTCAATCAATTTTAATAATGATTTTCTTTCATCGTATAACGTCACTTTGGGATGTAAGAAGGAATTGGTAGAGATGATATTTAAATGAGGACAAGGAAGAGGCATGGCGGATATCAGATGGCAAGGAATTCCAGAAGGTAGTGGATCGGGCAATAAAGGAATATTCAAATGTCTTAGTTCTATGGGAAGGGATATAAAGGTCGGAAACACGGGATCTTGTTTTCTGGGAGTGGACCACGGGTTTGAACTGTATGAGACTGTAGATGTAGGAAGGGTGTCGGGTGTTGATCGTTTGGAAAAGGAAAGATCCAAGGAAATATTGTCTGCGTAAAGAAGGGAAGAACCACTTTAACTCATCGTAAAGGTTGGACACATGAGACCGCCTCGATGTACCGAAGACTATATATATATATATATACCAACAAATAAATTTACTTTGACTCAACTTTACCATTACACCCATTGACCTTTTATGAATGTAGTATTTTATTGATTCAAAATTTGACCGGTATTCCTCTCGAAGGGAATTGAATCTAAGAAATAATTTCTGCTATAATGGATGCATGGTTGACAGCGTGACCATTGGAAGCGAACTGTTGCAGCAGTGAGTGTGGTTGCCTTTAGTCAAATGAAGCGCGGAGCTGTTTGCTAACACGTTGGTTGTCAAACCGGCTCAAATCGTACTCAAGGCAGTTTGGGCTAAGGTAATAAACCCGTTAAAAATCGAATGTTATCTTTTTTCACTTTGAAGAATAAAATATTCTGTATTGAAGGTATTGAAAGGTAAGTTGACAACCTGTAGATAGGTCCATGTACATTATTGTTATCCAAATGCTAGACCAAGAAGAGTCTTGGTATTGCGCACTCAGTCTTGGTCTTGGCAAGAGTATCACAAGTGTCTTACACTTAGCTTCTAACTATTTATTAAACATTTTCCCTTAAATCCTAGAAAACACTACAGAAAACGTACATAGAGAAAAGGTAAACAGATGTTTTATTGACATAAACATAGATAAGTTTAAATTAATAGAATTAACTTGACAATGCATTAAAGACATTGTGAAGAAAGATAGTCATAGGCCCTACATTGGAATGGAAGATTTTTGAGTAAAGACAATCTATACAAACCACCAATTAAATTAAATACAAAATTTGCCATGTACACTCACATGACTTTCCTGCCAATTTTAATTTTTTTTTCTTTTAATTTTTAGTATTTTCATAAGAGCAAGATTTCTTTGATGAACTAAATCACTGTAAACGGACAAGCGAGAAATTATTAAAACACCAATAAAAAGAACGATACACTCTAACGTTGTTAGAACTGGGCCGATTTAGACGATTTTTTTTTTTATTATAATTCTTTCGGAAATTTAATAAGATAATAAATAATTAATTTAATACTGTCATTTTTCAGAATAGAAAAACCTAACTAATCCCCGAATGAAAAATAGCAAAAGTATATAGGTATTAATTGCTGACTAATTGAAGTGTTTTTCCATATGGATCAAAATAGCAAAGAAACTAAAAATAGAATCTGGATACTGTAAGCTAGGAAATTGTTCAGCATTTCATCCTCTATGTAACAGGACATTGTTTAAAATTCTATCTTAACACGATGCCATGATGTTAGAGAGACGAAAAGGAAAAAATAGTGTCGAAAACCAAAGGATAACGAGTTTTATTGAAGATATTGATTAAAATATCCCAGAAACCAAAAATCGGACCTGCATACTTTAAGCAAGGGAATTGGTCAGCATTTCATCCTCTTTATAACGAGCTATTGATTATAATTTATAATTGATATTATTAATCTCACCTTGTTAATATTCTCACTCCTATCGAATGGTCTAAAGCACACTACTTTTTTTTCTTCTAATAAAGTAGTAAATTGTTTTGTTATTATCTGTTATATTACACAGAGATATTAATATATTTATCATTTAAGAATATTGAGCATATCAAAATCATAAGTTTTCCTTGAAAATTTCATTCGTTTGGAACGTTTCTGATACTCAATCATAAATAAAATTTATACTTATTTTTACTTTTCATTGAAATTTGAAAAAAAAAAAAAAAATGAATCGAAAATTTTCAGAAATGAAACCAGTAACATTTTCCTAATATGAGAAAATAACATTTTTTCCCACTAAAATATACATTTATAAATAATGCACCGAGAACTATTCTATATAGAAAATCTATAAAAGTGTCATTCTAAAACACATATGTCATTTCAATGATATTTACTTGTGCTTCTCCTTTTTTTATTTTAAATAGGACACTATATTTGGACTAATATTTGACAGAAGGATGACCTGGGGCCCACACGTTAAACTGAAAAGAAAGACTGAAAATACTATACTCACTTTTTTTCTAAATCAAAATTGAAAATTAAACAAAAACTAAATACATACACTTAACTGCTCAAACCCATTTGGACACACGCCTCACAGATTTACGGTGCAACAAAAAAGACTCACTTACTAAAACTACAATCTTTTCAATCTAAAATTTTAAGACTAATAACTGCAGCTCCATGGTATGTCAACAACAAGACTTTACATACCGACCTAAGACAACCAACCATTGACCAGCACATACGTACTCTCTACTCCCGATTTCATCTTAAACTACACGGACATCACAATGGACTTATCAACGACATGGCCACGGCTGAAATGCTCATCAGGAGGCGACTGAAAAGGAGCTGGATGAGAG